GATATATACACTCTAAAAAATTGCTGGGTTCAATTTTTTAATTACATTTTTAACCCAACATTTGGGTTTGTCCATATTTGACCCAAAGTTGGGTTAAAACAACCCAGCATTTATAGAGTGTACAGATAGATAATTTGACACATAAACAGACACAGAGAGACAGACAGACAGACAGATACAGTGTCTATCTACCTATATGTCAGACTATATAAATCTATAGCCAATTATGTTTGTAGAGTTGGTTAGATTTACTGTATTTAATCTATGGCACAAGTTCCAGACATTAAGACCGTAGGGAAAACAGGAGCTGATGGAGGCAGAAAACAAAATAAGAGTTTCATTTCCAAACACTGATTTCATTACGGCTCCTGTGTTTCAAGGCAAACAATGTTAAAGCAGAGCACAGTCACTGCGCTTTATTTACTTGGAAGCAAAGCCACAGCCGCAGCCAAAACGCAATATAAAGTGGAGAGAGATGTCATGAGAATGAAAAGAAGTAATAGTGGTTTCTGTTGCCAAGATGAATGAACAAAGAAAAGCACACTCCTTCCTGATAATCTGAATCAAAACATCCTTTCCATAGAGGCAGAACCTCGCCATCTTAAATAAACGAATACTTCTTAATCACAATTTCACTGCATGCTCTCTAGCAGAGCTGGATGTGTTCAGGAGGGCTGCTTTTATTGGCAGTCGCGCAACTGGTGGCTTTCTTGACGGCTCTGTTGTCTGTTCCAGCTAAATGGAGCCTTTCCTTTAATTTCAATGATTTGGTTTCAGGGAAACTATTGTTTCAAATGAGCTAATTTGAAACGCATGCTGAGATGGTAAAGATCCAAACTGTACTCGGTGGAGTCTGTTCTCAGCCTCTGTTTGCAGACAACAGTGGCGTTGTGTAACCTCCTGCCTCTGGCTGATCTTTATCCAATCAAATGCAGGGTTAAGACTCAGACCGATTAGCCGGCGAGTCTGCTGAGAAAGAGCTCTTCACCCTAATCCACCTCCTGCTGAGGTTAAACGCCAACGGAAACCATTCTTTTGTATGCAAATGGAATTACCTCAGACGCAAAGCATTTCTTAAGTTTATTACCACATAGTGACGAGGGTTATGCGAAAGCAGTACAACTAACCTGTTTTGTAAATGTTTATATAGTACAGGAAAATATATTGTTTTATATTAAATTAAATGCTATACAGTGTAAACAACACAGCAAAACTTAGGGTGTGTTCACACTTGGCATGTTTGCTTCAATTAAAATGAACTCTGATGCATTTACATTTATTCATTTAGCTGACACTTTTATCCAAAGCGACTTACAATTGCTATATATGTCAGAGGTCGCACACCTCTTCTTGCTCAGGGACACATTGGTGTCTCAAAGTGGATTCGAACACCAAAGGCATGTGTCTTATCCACTGCGCCATCACCACCCCACTGTTGCGATTGCCCTGTTAGTGTGAACGCTGCCATCTGAACCCTGGTGCCACCAAACAAGCGAGACCGCTGAAAATAAAGGGTCTCGATCCGCTTCCAAACAAACTCAGGTGTGGTTCGAATGAAATACGAACTCAACGAACCAAAAACAGGACATGATGTCACACGATGCGACCCTGAAAAGGACAACGCCCAAGCATACCTGTTTTTTTCTCGTCATAGTTGTGATATTTCCCATCACGGTTCAGTACAGGCATCAGAACCACGTCTCCTCGCTGCAGATTTTTGTTAGTGTGTGTCTTTGTTGATGTTTTGACTCTTTTACAAATTTTATAAGCTCGTCATGAGTTCTCAGCTGGTCAAAATACCAACATGTGTAGCTACGCACATACAACGAGTGCATTTAGCCCAGAACACAGCATTGTTTCAGATGTTCGGTAAGTTCCATCACCAGATGTACGTGATAAAAGCCGACCAATTAGGATGAACATCCTTATGCCTTTAGGTTCAGTATCTTTAGGTTTAATCTTGCAAAGAACAAACAGAATGGCACTTTTAGTAAAGTGACAAAATACAGCAATGCTGTAAAAACATGTAATGTTAAATTACTTTATAGATATAATAAACTGTTCGAAACTTGACTACTAGTTTTTGTGTGAGAAAAACATAAAATACATTTAAAAGGAAACATTTTAAACAAAAATGTAACATAGAACGGAGTGGAAATTTCCAACACGTTATCATCCTAGGGCATCATGTATTGATGCTTTTGAAATTTCATCTAAATCCAACGCACATGGCACCCTTTAGCTTCAATATAACACACACAGAGAGCTTTGTTTGGTTATGGGTAGGTTTAGGTCTGGGGTAGGGTTAGGGTTAGACCACTAGGAGGCGCCTTGTGGCCCATAGATATCTGCGTCTCATACTGACGCCATGTGCGTTGTATGTAGACGAAATGTCAAATGCGTCAGTATATGACGCCTTGGGATGAGAACGAAGTGGAAATTTCACAATGTTGTCCGCTTTCCGCTGACTAGCGCCATGAACAATAGTGATGGCTCACGGTTAGTTTCATTTGGGATTCAAACCAGCAACCTTCAGCTTACCAGCTCTGAGCTTTAACCACTACACCACATCACCCAGCCTCAGGCCTGCAGCAAACTGAGTGATTGTGTGTGACTACTGCATTATGGCTCCTATAGAGGAACACAGTATAAAATTGCTCTCTGTGACAAGAGTGATGTGACATACTGTTTGATGTGATCGGTTTCAGCCTTAAGGAACTTTTAGAAAAGACAGAAACAAGCACTTTTGCTTCTACTGAGTCACACATGCACACACTGGGAGAGCAAGAGAGAGAGAGAGAGAGCAGGAGAAACCGCGCACTGGGAAATATATGCTAATGTAAGGGAGCGCAGTCATTTGAAAGGAAATGGGCCTGAATGAGCACCCTGAGGGAACCACAGCACAAAGTTCAGCCCTGAAAAATGTATTTCATTTCATTTAAATAGTCCGCTCTTATGAATACAGCGGGGCTTCGGGGAGAGCTGGGAGCCGCAGGAGGGCTGAGGTGGGAGTTTATTTTGGGGGGAAATATCAAAACAAGATGTGGAGCCTAAGAAAAGTCAAAACAAATGATTTTATAAGTAAGGAAAACTTTGTCCAACTTGCTCTGATGTCTCATTTGTAGGTGTTTTGCAGGTCTAAGTTCTAGAAAATATGCTTTGATGTGGCTTTGGGTGGATTTCAAAACGACTAAAGGGTCCAAATCTATGTCATTTGCATGGTTTAACTACAGATTGTGGTAGTACCATAGTATAGTGCTAACATATACCAATTTACTGAACGATTGTCATATTTACTTGCCACAGTATTTACTAGCATCCCTACTAAGATACTTCAAAGCATTGCATTGTTTGACAAAATAACAAATATCATGGTACTTCTTGTTTTTATAAAAACAGATCTCTTAGCATTTAAGTGCAGAAGATTTCAAAATGCAGTTTTAACTAACTTGCGTGAAAAAACTAAGTTGATGTATGTGGCGAGCAGGACAGTGGTGTGATTGATAATGAGCGACATCTGCGCGACGCACCGGTCTCGCATCTCTCACGGAGGAGCGAAGGCATAAAGGAGGAGCGGCGACAGTGAAGGGTGAGAGAGGACCAGGCCTGGATTTATGTTTTGCTGTTTATGTTTTATTATGTGACAGCAGTCGTCCTTCGAGAGGCTGCTGTCTTGCTTTTGTTTTTGTTTTATTTTGTTTTTAAAATTTTGGGAATGTTTGCCGGTTCCCACCGCCTCCTTCCCATAACAACGAACTAAGTTACAATGCTAATGCCCATTTCTGTTGATTAGCATCAACAAGAATATGCAACATATTTCTTTTTGCATTCGGATTTGATTTCAGACACATTTTGGAAAGAAATGTGTGTTCTTAAGTATATTTTTTGGCCTTAAAAGGATAGTTCATCCAAAAAAATGAAAATTCTGTTATCATTTGCTTACCCTCATGTTGTTTCAAAACTGCAATCAGCTCTCTAGGTCGTGGATCAGTATATCGTGTTCATGAATTTGGCACTGGTAAACATTAAGGACCCTGACTCGCTACACATTGGGGCACTGATGACTATTTACGGCGACATTACAACATCCTCATTTTACATCATCAGTACATCTATAGCTGTAAACTAACTATAAATGTTAGCGAGATTATGTTCACTACCTGTCTAGCGATGTATTTTTATGCTGGAATATAATGAAATAACTGTTTGATTTTTCAAAACACTTATCATGCATCATTATATGTTGTGTGATTTTGGCTATGTTTTGGTTTTCTGAATTTCCATTAAGAGCATGGTGAGCAGCGATTCTCCCTGGTTTCACGGTGCATTGTGGGACTTTTTATGGAGCGAAGGATTCCATGCACTGCAAAGATTTAGTGATTGAGACGTTCCTTAAAATTGTCAAGACTCTCTGACTAGTGCCCTGACTACTGAACAACCTTTGACTTACTTTCTTCTGTATAACATATTTTGAAGAACGTTGGGGTCCAAACAACATTAGACCCCACTGACAATTTTTTCCTGTAAGAACAAAAAACTTTTTTCAGAGTAAAATTTGATTCAAATATGACTTTTACTGGCCTTTAGTATCACACAAAACTATTTTTCTTACACTATGACCTACTGTCAGATGCCACAGTAGAGCCACGTCATATCTGCGTATGTTTGTGGAGAAAAATTATTAAAGCACTTAAGATCCCGGGATGTGAGCCAGGATAGCATTCCCAGCTTCCTGTCTGGATCCCGCTCCTTTGGGAGCAGATCAGGTGAATATTCCGGGATGAGGAAAGCTCTCGGAAGGCAAACACTCAAGATTTAATTAGGGAGCTGAAAGAGGATTAGACTGAGTGTGTGTGTGTGTGTGTGTAAAGGACCTCCACCTTCCTCCGTCTTGTTTTGTTGACTCTACGGATCCAACAGTGCCACATATGTCCAGCATATGGTACAAGAACAAACAAACCTGGGTGTAAGGGAAAATGCACACGCAAACACAGGCTTACCTGGACACAGTGGCATACGGTTGATCCACGTCGTTGTATTTCGGAGCCATTCGTGGATCAGGCCCTCTGATCTGCAAAGCAAAGGAAAATCAAATTAGATTGTCACAATCAGCTAATGTAATATTCAGATGTGTTTTAAAAGGTGAAGAGCGTAATTTCTGTACACAAGCATACCCAACGGAAATACAAAAGATGTGTAATCACAAAAAAAAGCATGAATAACTATGAAAATTAAGTGATAGCAAAATTGTAATAGCACAAAACATTTGCGAATAGTCAGGTCACCTTTATTTATATACAGTATAGCGTTTTTTACAATACAGATTGTTTCAAAGCAGCGTTACAGTGTTTGTTTTGGCTGCACAGCAGATTTAGAAGAAAAATATCGTCATAATCCAGCTTACGTTATTTAAGTAATGGTTCATTTTTGTCATAACAGTTATTAATTTAGTTAATTTATCTATGGGCTCTATGCACGGCGTTATTTCCGGTGAAGCATTAGGGATGCTCGATAACTTCCGCCGATCATAGAGTCCAATGCAATACCGAGAATTTATATTGAATTTTATACTCCATGGTTATACTAATGAAACGTTAGTCACAAAAACAGATAAAACAGACACCCCTCGTTGTGTTTACGCTTCTTTTTAAAATTATATTAAATAAACATAACTATATATAAAATTACATCTAAACGTATGTACGTTTCGTTTCAAAGACGGGAGGACAGTAAATATTGAAGACTCTGCCATAATCCCGTTTTCTCCGGTTTTCCTCCGCTTTAATCTACACAACCGGAAATGGACGAGCATCCTTACGTTATATGCGGAACTTATGCGTGCATATAGCCCATAGAGCCGCACGTCACTGACAAGCTGCGCATAAAAAATAATCGTAATAAGCCGAATCGGTTTAAGTGCGATTTAATGTTTAGTAACTATACTGACTTGAGAAACTTTAATACAGATTCATCTCTGTTTAATTTATACAGTGAAGACTATGCAGTGTTATTTTACATTTGATTACTTTATTACATTATCTGAAAAGTGAATTTTCACTGGTATCTAAAATGTTTAAAAAATAAAAAGTATTTATGAGTTTATCATATAAGTTACCGGCCATTGGCAGGTGTGGTAAAAAGTTAGTTACACACACACACACACACACACACACACAACCCTGGGTCATTGCTCCCAAAAGTGGGATCTTATCTGTGAAAGAGAAGCTGGAGAGTGGTGGTATAAATTCTGACAATGGGAAAGACTGATCACCTGTATGGCCAGAATAGACGGATGAAAGAATGAGAGGAACAGAGGAAAGCAGGGAATTGTCTATCGTTCAGATCATTTGGCATGCGCGGCAGTCTATCATTCCCACAATCATCTCTCGCTTCTCTAAATTTGACCTTTACGGCGTGTGCGCGTCGTCATTTCTCTGTCTCTCTTACTCTCGGTGACATTCGATCCCTGCGAGACACCTTTGTGTTTAAAGATCACACTTAGCATGCAGGGCAGAGCCGAGGGCCGCCATTACATGCGCTTATAACCGCCTCATTGAGACAAATGCCACCATTTTCCTCACATAGTCCCCAGAAATGAGCTACCCTTCTTTACATAATGCCTGTAACCTTCATCTGTCAGGATCTGCCACACGCAGAACTCCCACAATCCCACTGCGGTCATATGAGACTACTGTTAAACCCTGCGTACTCCACTTATTCATCTTATACAAGCTTGCAAAGCTTTGGAATAGTCGCATAGAGAGGAATAAGTTTTAGTTGTTCATTGCAATCATAACAAAACCAAAATAGACGTCAAAGGGGAAACAATGCATCCAATGTTCTTTTATATTGATGATTAAGTAACATGTTTGTCATTTCCTACACTCTTAGAAAAAAGGGTTCATTGGGGTTCTACTGTATATATGAAGCATAGGGTTCTTTAACTCCAAAACACCTTTTATGCTAAAAAAGGTTCTATAATGACAAGAATGAACCCTTTTGGCTCAAAGGTTCTTTATAGGCTATTATTCATTCATATATTACATTATTCTGCAACATTTGTCGTTGAAATTAAATTATTGTTTATTAAACTGTCGTAGTAGGCTAACTTAATATCACATTTTAATCATGCTGATTTTTGGAGGAGAAAAACTGAAATGGCACTCTTCGTGTGATATTGATTAACTACATAAAATGATATAAATATGTACATTTTCTAACCCCCATATCTTGAATTTTGTGATCATTCACATGCATTCATAAATACATTTTAGGGTCTTGATGTTTGTCAATAATATGAAATATTCCGGAAAGAACAAAACAAATGATAATGAATGAACCCAAAAGATTCCATATAGAACCTTTTTCCTGGCTACAAAGAACCCTAAATAATAAATCAATAATAACATTTACTAAATATTAAATAATAACTAAATATTGCATTACTACTGCCACAGTGCTTACATTTATGGACAGAAACGTCGTACATGGAGTTATGAAAAATGTTAATGTAATAGCTTGGAGAATGTAAAAGGAATTGAAACGTAAAATCAAGTAATTTTCATCTTGTTAACATGTTGCTTTATTTAACATTTAAGAAAATTTCTGAAAATTCTGAAAATTGAAATAGTCTGGCGAGATGGGGCCACGGGTTGGCACATTCCCAGGACGGACCTGCTGCGTCTTTATCCATGGCTTCGTCTCTTATCTAAATCTGACCATGGAGTAGACTTTAGGGGAAAGATAAAGGTGATTGCTGAATCAGTGGTGCCTGCACAATCCAATCACATTTGAGAGGGATTTTTCTTATTTCCTTTTTTTTTTTAGAAGTAGTAACTCGTACTCACGGTTATGGATAGAAATGTGGTGGAGTAAAGAGTACAATATTTGCCTCTCAAATGTACTTAAGTAAAATCATGAGTACTCCCCAAAAATGATACTCAAGTAAAGTACAGATCCCTCAAAATTGTACTTAAGTACTATACTCAAGTAAATTTACTCCGTTACTGTCCGGCTCAGCCAATAATAAACTCATAAATACTTTTTCCGGCCATGGAGCTTGTGACACCAACAATTTACTGTAGATACCGGTGAAAATTCACTTTTCAGATAATGTAATAAAGTAATCAAATGTAAAATAACACTGCATAGTCAGAGATGAATCCTTATTAAAGTGTCTCAAGTCAGTAAAGTTACTAAACATTAAATCGCGCTTAAACCGATTCGACTTATTACGATTATTTTTTATGCGCAGCTTGTCAGTGACGTTACGTACGGCTGTAGTCCAGAGCGGCTGTATAGATAAATTAACTAAATTAATAACTGTTATGATAGAAATGAACCATTACTTAACTAACTTGAGCTGGATTATGACAATATTTTTCTTCTAAATCTGCTGTGCAGCCAAAACAAACTTTGTTTTCCTGTTAACACTGTAACGCTGCTTTGAAACGATCTGTATTGTAAAAAGCGCTATATATAAATAAAGCCTTGACTATTCGCAAATGTTTTATGTGCTATTACAATCTTGCGCATAACTTAAATTCGCAACGTTGCTATTGTCTTCCAATGTTTACCGTCAACTGCAGAAGAAAGAAACTCATTCAGGTTAGGAACCACTTGAGTTTTCATTTTTTATGTGAACTATCCCTGGATGTCAGTGCGATAAAACACTACCAAGTTGCTTCCATAGTGCCGGTTATTACAAAACACGACTTTAGATCTTCCATATTACCCACGTGTTTCTCTTCACTGCCCACAGATGTTATCTCGGGCTCAGGCGATTGATCTTTACTCGGTAATTAGCATTTTAGGCAGAAAGGACAAGACGTGGGCCTGCTGCCAGACGCTTGACTCCAATTGAGAGAGAATTTGAAACTTTGCCACGGCAGGCTTGGTGGTCTGGGCGAGTTTTACCCTGTGGGGTCAAAAAGGATCAACAAAACCTGCTCAACCCTGCTAAACCTCACCAAAGGGAGGGAGAGGGCATTGGGGCACCATGGCAACCGAGCTGCCAGAAACCAGTTGAGTCTTTGCGGTGCTGTTATCAGATCAAAACGGCTGTGTGGACGGATGAAGGACTCGTGTGCTGCAGTGCATGTTGAGAAATGTGCATGCTACGCCGGCGAACTGGACTGAGACGGCAAATACTTGCCACAACAAACGTGCAAACATTTGCAAATAGGCAAACAGCACTCATGCGTTCAGATGCAGGGAGATCACGAGGAGTGTGTGCGTACATGTTGAGCATGAACAGCAAGGTCACCTGGACTCACTGGGACTTATTCAGTCACACCTATTTTATACCTCGAGAACAAAACAAAACAGACATAAGCAAAGGCGTTTAGCAATAAACATTTAAGCTATACGTAAGAATAAATTAATTTTAAGATTTTTTTTATGTTTTTGAAAGAAGTTTCTTAGCCTGCCAAAGCTGTATTTATTTGATCAGAAACAGAGTAAAACAGTACTATTGTGAAATATTATTAGTTTTCTACTTTAATATATTTAAAAAATGAATTGCGATTATGAGTTTATATGGAATGAACAGAAAATGATCCGCCCCAGTGGACATTTTCTCCGTTATGAATACCATGCACACTTTACCCTTTTTTTTTTCTCAAATTTGCACGAATTCGGGGGTGGCAATTGCTTGAATGCTGGGCTCATTATTATTCTCCATAAACAACTAGAAAACACAACTAATTCTTTGCATTGACTTTAAAGGGTTAGTTCACCCAAAAATGAAAATTAAGTCATTAATTACTCACCCCCATGCTGTACCAACCCCGTAAGACCTTCGTTCGTCTTCGGAGTACAAATGAAGATATTTTTGATTAAATTTGAGAGCTGTATAACTACCACATTGGCTCCTAAGGGACTGCCTCTTGACGGCCCAGAAAGTCAATGAAGAAAATGTTTAAATATCCCAAGTGACTACCGTGGCTCAACTATATGTTTATCAAGCGACGCGAATACTTTTTGTGCGAAAAAACAAACAAAAATAACGAGTTTATTCGACTATTTCTTTTCTTCCTTGTAGGCCAGAACGAGACTTCCTTATAGATTTCC